ATATAGTTGGCGATGACATACTATCATTGATTCATTGTATGGCAAAGTTGATGGTGACATATAGTTGATGATTCATTGAATGACATAATTAGCTAAGACAGACTATGTGATGCCATAGTTAGTGATGACATAGTTGGTCATGACATATTGGATGATGACATAGTTGGTGATGACATAGTTGGTGATGGCATATTGGATGATGACATAGTTGGTGATGACATAGTTGGTGATGGCATATTGGATGATGACATAGTTGGTGATGACATAGTTGGTGATGGCATAGTTAATGATGACATAGTTGGTAATGACACAGTAGGTGATTACATAGTTAATGATGACATATTAATTGATGGCATATTTGGTGATAAAGTAGTTGGTGATGACATAGTTGATGAAGAAATAGTTGATAATGACATAGTTGGTGATGGCATAATTGGTGATGCTATAGTTTGTGATGACATAGTTGGTCATGACATAGTTGATGATGACATAGTTGGTGATGACATAGCTGTTGATGCCAAAGTTAGTTATGACACAGTTCATGATGACATAGTTGATGATGACATAGTGTGGTGACATAGTTGATGATGACATAGTTGGTGATAACGTAGTTGATGATGACATAGTTGATGTTGACATAGTTAGTGGTGACATAGTTTCTGATGACATAGTTGATGATGACATAGTTGGTGGTGACATAGTTGATGATGACATAGTTGATGATGACATAGTTGGTAGTGACATAGTTTACGATGACATTGTTCATGATGACATAGTTGGTGGTGACATAGTTTATGATGACATAGTTGGTGATGACATATTTGATGATGACATATTTCGTGATGACATAGTTGGTTAGTTATGACATAATTAGTGATGACGTAGTTGGTTATGACACAGGACTCCCGTGCTATAACATATAGTTGTTGCATTTATTGAATGACGTAGATGGCGATGACACATAATCGTTACGTATTGTATAACAAAGTTTTTGATGACATATAGTTGTTGATGCATTGTATGATAAAGGTGACACGGTTGGTGATAACATAGTTGGTATTGACATAAAGCTGTTATTTTACTGTATAATATAGTGGGTGGTGACATATAGTTGTGTTTCTTTTTGTGTGTATGTGTGTGCGTTTTGTCATCGCTGGAGATGACATATTAATTGGTTTATTGTATGACATAGTTGTAGTTGACATATATTTGTTGATTATCTAAAAGCAATGCTGGAGCTGGCGTGCACGAGTGTCAGGACTCCCGTGCCACTGAACACTAGTGCTTATAGCAGATTGTTGAGTGCGAGGGTGGGGAGGGGGGCGTCAGGGGCAGTGCATGAGTATTTCCTACCATCCAAAAAAGGCATCAATAGATGCAAAGCTGACACATGACATTCTGATCCTGGGCCCATCCAAGGAATCGCCAAGTCCTGCACTGAAATGCTTAACCTCACAGCAATATGTTCAGCTTCAAACGCATCACGGGTTGTGCCCTCTGGAGATAAACAAGGAGCCGCCTGCAGGTCCAGGAATTCGATGACTACTACACAAATATGTACTTTCTTCATCGGAACGTTGTTTCAATTGGAAACCTAGCACTACAGTAGGGAAAAAGCATTCATCATGTGTGGCTTCTTCCGATTGGTCCCAACACTTTGTCGAGTGGAGCCAATAGGCACGTATATCAGGAACTTTCTGAGATCTGGTGGGATTTTTCATGGTCGGTTATTTCTTTGCTGTTATTACGTAGGACATATGATTGACGGATATGTGAGTCTAATCAGCTCTCTAACAAAGGTAGATTGTCCGAGTATATTTTTCTTGATGACGACAACGTTGAGGGTTGACAAAAGATTGCGAAGACGGGACTGTACTGAGAGATACAGCACGCAGGAGATATTGCCTGTCTAAGATGCCAACAAATCTCTTGGTCTAGACAAATCTCTTGGTATAGGGCTGAGTCTCAGCAGTTTAGTAGCTCTGTCACTCGACAAAGATTTGAACCACGGTTTGTCATATAGTAAGAAGCTCGGTCAGCGAGTTCAATTCCATATATGTTATAACAGATGCATGGGAGTGACAGTGGTGAAGAGGGGTGGGAATGTGCTGATGAGAGCTAGAGAAATTCTAGACAGATCCTCTCCGAGGGTGACTAACTTCGAAAAGCCCTACCAGCTCGGTTCAGGTCCATACGAACCATTATTCGCAACGCACGAAGAGGACGTGCAGCAGGAGTCTTGAATTTTGGGGATTCCTTGTCTAAAACCTCACCCAGTGATCTCAAGGCCATGTTTGACGCGTTTACTATTGGCTTAATTTCTCATTCTTCTTATTGTTCTTGTTCTTGTTCTTGTTCTTTTTCTTGTTCTTGTTCTTCTTCTTTTTGCTTTTTCTTTCTTCTTCTTCTTCTTCTTCTTCTTCTTCTTCTTCTTCTTCTTCTTCTTCTTCTTCTTCTTCTTCTTCTTCTTCTTCTTCTTCTTCTTCTTCTTCTTCTTCTTCTTCTTTCTTCTTCTTCTTCTTCTTCTTCTTCTTCTTCTTCTTCTTCTTCTTCTTCTTCTTCTTCTTCTTCTTCTTCTTCTTCTTCTTCTTCTCTTCTTCTTCTTCTTCTTCTTCTTCTTTCTTCTTCTTCTTCTTCTTCTTCTTCTTCTTTCTTCTTCTTCTTCTTCTTCTTCTTCTTCTTCTTCTTCTTCTTCTTCTTCTTCTTCTTCTTCTTCTTCTTCTTCTTCTTCTTCTTCTTCTTCTTCTTCTTCTTCTTCTTCTTCTTCTTCTTCTTCTTCTTCTTCTTCTTCTTCTTCTTCTTCTTCTTCTTCTTCTTCTTCTTCTTCTTCTTCTTCTTCTTCTTCTTCTTCTTCTTCTTCTTCTTCTTCTTTTTCTTCTTCTTCGTCTTCTTCACTTCCTCTTTCACCGCTTTTTGTTCTTCTGGTGGCCAGACTACCATAGACACATCGTGCCATCGCAGTAGAGTTTCTCTAATGTTTTCTTTTCATCCTGTCTTTGATCTTACATGTGCTCTTCTTCTGTTTTAGTGTATGCCTTGGTATGGTATCGCAAGGTATTTGTTGTGTGCAATCCGAAGATTCACACTTTTGACGACCGCTAATGAACATGCGATATGACGAGAGACACGACGTCATTGGCCTACAGAAGAAATGGACAGAAAAGAGTTACAAAAAATGTAGGAAGGGCAGAAGCTTGTATTTATATGCCCTTATGCCACCGTTCGCGGGAGAGCAACGTCTCTGAGCACCATCTTGGAATAAAGGAATTATTCTACCGTTGTCCCGATGCCGCAGTTCGCGGGAGAGCAAAGTCTCTGAGCTCCATGTTGGAGGAAAGAAATCATCTTACAGTCATTAAGTACAGCCATCGTAACATATTCATTTCATGGACATACATTATATCTGTGGAGAATTGCTGAATAAACGTATTGATATTGCCTGTCAACGATGTGTTCTCAAATGTAAAAGTTTCAACAGTTGACCTTGTTGGTGGCGTTTTTTACATGTCGTTGGGTTTGGCATTTGTTACCCCCTAGAGTAATAAGTTTCTTAAACTTATTACGGCATGGACCTGGGACGATATTTCAACGGAATAATCTATCCACAATATGAGATACTAATAATAGTAATCGCCTTACAGTATTCTCTCTCTAAGTTGGCAAACCCTTCGATTTGATTTCTTTGTATGTAATTTTGAAATGATTCTGTGCTGACATTTTCTATTATGACCTCATTCCTTATTTTATCTTTTCTGGTTAAACCTCTCCCTTTGTCAGACTCTCAGTGTTATGTTAGTTTTTTAGTTTTTTTTTAAAAATAAATTTTATGTTTTCCAAAACTACCAATTACTGCCTTTGTAATACCACTTTTGTGGTGTAGGCGAAAAAAATAAAGGAAGGGGGAGGGGGTAAGGGTGAGGAAAAAAGGGAGGGAGGCTGTTTCTTTGAGCTTGAGGATTTAGGGCCGCATGGCTAGTGTAGTCACCACGATTGTGCAGGCGAGGATTTTATTTTGGTGCCATTCCTTTATTCGCTTGATGCATTGCATACTCAACTTCTGAAGTCAGTATGGATGGTCCTTCGCTGTTTTCCTGCTAATATGGCATCTGTTAATAGTCATGTCCTCGAAAAAAGTTTTTTAATAATGTCAGCAAACAAGACATTTTCAAAACATCAAATTGCACTCGTTTCATAGGTGTTCCACTCCCCCACACTGGCTCTTGCCAAAGACGGGGGGGGGGGGGGGGGGCACAATATAGCCTGGCCATAAATATGGTCTAAATGCTGAACGCGGTTTCTGTGACCTCTCCACGGTGATCCTCATCCGCTTGGTGGCGCATTGTGTCATCGGGTGTATATCGCTTGTGTGATGTCCTGGTGGGGTAGAAAGTCAGTCGGGTGTTCCACTCTCAAATGGTCATTGCAAGCATTGGCTTATTTTTGGTTATAGGGGCGAAGTTTGTCATGGAATTCAGGATATGCAATCAAAATAATCACCACGCATCGCTGCACAAATCTCCCCGCGTGTGTTAGTTACTGTGTATTATATTTTTAGGGATACACAAATTATTAGTCAAATACAGATCACAGAAATTCGCTGCTCTAAGAACACAGCAGCACCTGTGCAATTGTGAATTTAAAAAAAATCATAAGGAAATTAGAAATCAAAGACTACATGCAGAAAAAAAATTAATTACTGTTGATTCGTTCGGGAGTTTTCGAAAGATTTGTTAAATGGGGAAACGTACGACTTTTGAAACGCACTATAACAACGAAAGTTACATTTAAATATTTTTTTCGTTTAAAAACAAATGGATATAATATTCTCTATTCTTACCATTATTACATTATAACTCTTTATCTTTGAACAGAAAAAGATAACATGATACAATTCTACATCCTAAACATATGGTAAAGTCAAACACATGTAACCATGGATGCGAACAGTACTGTCGACCTACAGAGTGAGTTTATTCGGGACAAATAAACTTCACCACAAGATGCTTAACTGGAACAGCAGCTTCAATGGGAGCTACATAGGGAGAAGACACAACATCTCACATTTCATCGAGTTTCAAGCCAGCGTCATGATCTGGCGATATGTGGCTCCTGTCATCCTTGTCGTCGGTGAGTGGCTTATTGTTTTGTGGTTATTATATGTGGCTCCTGTCATCCTTGTCGTCGGTGAGTGGTGTATTCTATTGTGTATATTACATGTGGCTCCTGTCATCCATGTCGTCGGTGAGTGGCTTATTGTTTTGTGGTTATTATATGTGGCTCCTGTCATCCTTGTCGTCGGTGAGTGGCTTATTGTTTTGTGGTTATTATATGTGGCTCCTGTCATCCTTGTTGTCGGTAAGTGGTGTATTCTATTGTGTATATTACATGTGGCTTCTGTCATCCATGTCGTCGGTAAGTGGCTTATTGTTTTTGTGGTTATTATATGTGGCTCATGTCATCCTTGTCGTCGGTGAGTGGCTTATTGTTTTTGTGGTTATTATATGTGGCTCATGTCATCCTTGTCGTCGGTGAGTGGCTTATTGTTTTTGTGGTTATTATATGTGGCTCATGTCATCCTTGTCGTCTGTGGGTGGCTTATTGTTTTGGGTGTTATTATATGTGTCTCTTGTTATTCTTGTTGTCGGTGAGTGGCTTATTGTTTTGTGGTTATTATATATGGCTCCTGTCTTTCTTGTTGTCGGTAAGTGACTAATTGTTTGTGGTTATTATATGTGGCTCCAGTCATCCTTGTTGTCGGTGGGTGGCTTATTGTTTTGTGGTTATTATATGTGGCTCCTTCATCCTTGTCGTCGGTGGGTAGCTTATTGTTTTGTGGTTATAATTTGTGGCCCCTGTCATCCATGTCGGTAAGTGGCTTAATGTTTTGTGATTATTAGGCAGGTCTACAGAATGTGCTCAGGTGTTTGTGGTCCTGTTTGACCGGCACACTGCGGTGACTGTACAATCTTTATCTTATGCATGTGGTAGCTGAGCCTGTAGTGCCCTGTTCATAAACAGAAAATTGTTGTATGTTGCTTTCTGTCGAGTCTGCTGATAGAGTCTTGTGGATGTTTACTGTTAGTTTGTTCTCTCCACAATTCCTTATTTTTTTCCTGCGATAAGTGTTCTGATTTTTGGTAACTACAATAAATGAAGGTGTTGTTTCTCCTTGTTTCTATTTTATGCGAGTCTGTCTGCTGGTCATTATATGTATGTGGCTCTTCACAGTTCCCCCGAATATTGTGGATTTTCTGTCCAAGACTTTCAGGTGTGCAAGGTGACGAACGAGCACGCTGATAGAATAGCTACTGTTCCTCTGGGCGGTGAGCTACTATATGATACAAAGTCGCAGAAAAGGCTCGCTGGGATCAAATGTACAATGCAATAGAACAGAGAATCAATACATTGGAAGACGAATTCAGCTGGGGTGAACAGAGGTTCTAGAAGGTTTCCAACACTAATCGTGGGACTTTTAATCAGGTTGCAGATGGCACTGTTAGCGTGTCGACTGTTCGTTGACTTCTGGGGGGACGGAATAGGTGTCGCAATGTTAGGAGCATAGTTGACTTTGACGGACTGTGGAATTGGGCGTGGCTTACTTGATATACTCAATAATTCATTGCCTTTTTATTCTTTGAACCCGCCCCTAATTGACATTGTAAAGCAAAAAACAATTCGCACCGCCTGCACGAGCGGTGCAGGTCATTTGTGCGTAGGGATCAATCGCGGCTCCGATGGTTTGTGTTCACCCAGCGGATCGCTTGAGGTTGGGGTTCTGTGATTTGGGATCAAGAGTCGGATAAGGCTCAGGAGTCGTTGTGGTTGTGTATCTGTGAGGGGTTGGGCAGGTGGAGCTAAGGACCTGCAGGTTTCAGGAGCGGCAGTAAGCAGGGCGAGCACTAAGAGATCTGCTATAGGGGCTGTATACTAGAATAATGAAAACTAGGGGCATTGATTGGCTCGGTGGCGGGATAATAGAAAGTATGCATGTTATAAAGCAAAAGTATACAAAAGGGACAAAATAAAGCGATATGATACTAGACTTGTGTAAGTTATATAAGAAAATAAAGGAAGTGATGGGTACATTAAACATTACCAGGAGTGATAAGTCTTCTAATGCAGCAGTAATTTAAGGGTACTTTTACTGACTGTTTCTACTAGAAGTTGGTTATAATCTATCCTATCTTGACCTTGTCGGTGGCGATGACGTACTATCTTCCAAAGCCATATAATTGTCTTAGAAATAAAGACATTCCTCATTATCTGCCAGCCTTGTCGTGAACTGATGCATTTTAGTGTAGATCAAACCATATGTCCTTGTGGGCATGTAAAATTTGCACAAGAGTGAACAAATCTTCGCAGTCTGCAGAGATTAGTGCGGCTAGGGAGTGACCACTGACTTGACCGACACTCAGGACTCGAAAGAAAATCAAAACGGACACATTATCCGACTGTTAATGGCAATATCTTTTTATGTTATATATATATATATATATATCACATAAAGATATACAAGAGAAAAGTAACAGACTACACTGCACAGCAGAAATGGTGGGACTGAGAATAAATACAAAGAAAACTAAGATCATGACAAACAGTCCAAACCAACAAACAGGATAAGCAACCAATCACTTGAAAATGTAGATCTTTTCACATATCTTGGCAGTGTGGTGTCCCTACTGGGAGGGACAGAGGAAGACATGCAGTCACGTCTGAACAAAGCTAGAGCTGCTTTTGGAAGGATGAGGTAAATCTGGAAATCCAACAATTACTGCAGAGGAACAAAACTCCGACTCTACAAGAGCATCATTTTGCCAGTTCTTCTTTATGGAGCGGAATGCTGGAGAATGACCAGAAAGGATGCACACAAGCTGTCCACCTTCCACCACACATGTCTACGTAGAATTATCAAAATTTTCTGGCCAGACACAATCTCAAACACTAAACTACTTCAAGCCACAAAACAAGAAACTTTAGACAGTATGATTACCAAAAGAAGATAGAAATGGCTTGGCCACGTTATGAGAATGACTTCTGATATTTCTGCCGAAAAAGCTCTCACATGGAGAAAACAGGGGCGCCCAAAAACAACATGGAGACGAACGATGGAAAGTAACCTGAGTGCGGCATCTTTGACATGGAAAACTGCACTGAAGATTGCACAGGACAGGAAAGCATGGAAAGTCCTCTCTGAAGCCTCATGTGCCACTAGGCATAACAAGAACTGATGATGATGAAAGGTAATATCGAATTTCAACTAGCTTATGGAGATGGAAGAAGGAGGAGAAATTCATTTTAACAATCTGTAATAAGGTAACTTATGACGAACAGAACCATGTGGTGTTGCGGCTCCACCCTCTTTAACCGGAAAGTCGTGGGTTCAAATCCCCTGTCAGTAGATTGGAATAAAATGACATTGCCCCCCAGGTGGACGCGGTCTAAAATGGGTACCTGCTGAAGTCCTGGGAAGTAAAGACAGCCCATGTGCTGTTGACCACATCATTTACCGAGTGATTAGTCTATAAAATATAGGTGTAGCAATATATGCCAAATACGTCTATAGGCATGGAGAATGGTCTCTCTCTCTCTCTCTCTCTCTCTCTCTCTCTCTCTCTCTCTCTCTCCTTTTACCCCACTATGACATCACACAAGCGATAAACACCCGATGACACAAAGTGCCACCATGTGTATGAGGATCACCCATAGAGAGGTCCCAGAAACAACGTTCAGTCATTGGACCATAATTATGGCCGGGTTATATTGCGGCCCCTGGCAGGAGCCAGAGTAGGGCTTCAAATAACGAAAATGTGCATCCCAAAAAGAGATGGCAAAGTTGTACAAACATGGAGAATGGTTCTTCAGTTTAAATGTTAGCGATATAACAGTGTAAATGATACAATAATAAACATCTATGCATATTGATTTAAGTTAGTTGCTTTTATTTTGTAGGACATTGAACAACATTAGCATTTTTTTTCGACTGTAGTGGTATTTCTATGCAAATTTTCGTTAAATAGTTTGTCGGCATTTACAACAATACAAAAGAAAATTAGTACCCACGGAAATAAAGTGTCTGAGAAATGCTGTAGGGGTGACCAGACAAGATAAAATCAGGAATGAGTTCATACAAGATAAATTCGGCATAGACAAAATTCTAAATTACATAGACAGCAGATTAAATGGTTTGCCTATTTGGAGATAATGCATTTTGATGCTATACCATTCAAGACATACACAAAGAGGAGAGGGGCGTAGAGCAACAGGTAGACCAAGAACAACAGGGAAGGATAACATCAGAGAAACTCTACAGTATTACAATGTGTCTGTTGTCAAAGCAGCCAGAAAAGCACAAAGCAGGACCTTTTTTCTCGATTTCAAGACTTAAAGTGCTAAAAGAAAACGTAAAGAACAAAACAGAAGTTTGCCATGGCTCTCTGTGCGGTCGGCGCTCGATACGACTGTCTAAAAGGCTAGGCAGCCTTGGATGCAGCTGGGATCCAACCCGGCACCCCAGCATTACGAAACGCGTTCACAACGCCTAAGCCACATACGCTGATAAAAAAAATAAATATATATATATATATATATATATATATATATATATATATATATATATATATATATATATATATATATATATATATATATATATATATATATATATATATATATATATATATTTATATGTCTGTGCGTGAGCGCGCGCGTGTGCGGGGTGGTTGCTATTGATACGGATGTTTTTCTTCTGCAGGTACACTTGGAAGTATTTTGTCGTTGCTTGTCCTTTGTAGAAAGTCTTTGAGATCGCAGACAACAATGTTCTATCTGTCCGCTCTGGCAGTAGCTGACCTAATGGTTCTCTACGCTGGACTGGTCAGGTGAGTGCACCTTTGGTCAGCTTAGCTTCTGTTTGCTCATTGTATCAAGTCCTCCAAGACTGTCCCAAATACAACATATCAAGGACAAACTTTTGGCCAAGAGAAACATCGGTGCAAGTCAAACTTTACGGGTAGCTGAGTGAATTACAAAATACAGTGAAGTTCATACTAGAGACAACATTGCAAATGTAGATCATATATTCAAGCGAACGAAAGAAGAGGAATTGTATGTGGCAACAACGGGCTCAATATCGCTGTGTAGGTTCATGGTCTATGTTTTAGTTAGGAAAAAAAAAGACCCAATGTCCCTTAACAAGTGTGTCGTAAAAGGCTTCTCATTTTTGGTTTATTGATTTTGGATGTGTCGAGTCCAGAGTTGCAAATGTCGCAGCCTAGCTGCAAAAAACTACTTACCAACAGTCCTTTTATGTCGCAAAAAAGAAAAAAAAAAAGAAAAAAGATGAAACAGAAAAAGAGTGTGAAGCGTTGACATAGGTGTATGTGACTTCTTTGTTATATCCCAGCCCTTACCGGGGATTGAAAACGGAAACTCTTTAACACTTGACGCAGACACCATGCTTCGAGACCACTGAAAGTTCACGACACAGAAGGTTGTGGATAGACATGACTGCCAGCGTTACACGTCGTGGACCTGAAAAAAAGATTGTTTGTGACTTCTTTATTCAAAACAAATAGACTTGTTATAGTATGACGAATGCCCTTGTGCTATTTGCCGCTGGGTATGGCTACAGCAATATGAAAATACTGACTACAGACTTGGTACAGTGTGACCCACTTTTTTTGCATTGCTTCCCTCAGGTTGTGGTGGAGCATGCTGAGAACATTTACATAAGACTCATGTCCAGAGCCGCTTGCAAGACCCACAACTTCTTCGTCTACGTGTCACTCGATATTTCAGGTAAAGCTACAGAACTTTGTAATGTATTCAAGTGTACGTTGTTGTTCGTCTGTTGTTGTTCGTGATGAAGGCCACTTTTCTTCCATTAAATTAATGATCAATGAGTATGAGTATGAAGATGGCTGATAAGTCCTATATGAGCCTAGGAGATTCTTGAGCAGTACGGACAACAGGTGGAAGAGGCTGTAAGTGTGGGATTAGCGATACGGTTCTTTCTGGTCTGCCTCCGTTTCACTGCCTGTGCAACCTCCGCTTTCTGGCAGGCTGATGGAACATGCCTGAAGGATTTCCGCCATCCAGAACGGTTCTGTGCAGCAGCCTCCTACGTCGCTGTGTTGATGCAAAAAGAATTGAGAGCAGCCTTGATAGTGTCCTTACCGCGATTTTTTTTGGGGGTCCTCCCTGGGACCTCTTTCCTTGCTGGAGCTCGCCATAAATACTCTCATTAGAAGGCTATAGTCTGGTAGGCGGGGTAGGTGACCAGGCCAACGCTTCTGATTATTCTTCATTGTGTGTATGTGTATATGTATATATATATATATATATATATATCATTGTCCCGTTGTGCCATCATACATAACTCACTGTTTATTCTTCAGTTCCGTTTTATGCCACGCAGTCTCTTCGATTTCAAGAATATAATCCACACTAGCTCATTTTGTTTCTCTCACCAGCGTTGTTTTTAGGGGTTCTTTTGGACGTCTCGACTTCCTCAGATGATTTATTTTCCATTTTAGTGACTGTTTGGCGTTTCTTCTCAATAAATTATCAAAATAGACGCCTCTCTTTTGTCTATAACCTGTTGTTACCAGTGGTTGTCCGGATATATTTCTTATGTTTTCCCCAGTCTAGAATTCATCCCATGTTTTTTGTCAGTTTTTCCACAGGCAATTTTTTAATGCATTAAACTTTCCATCAATGTGTTTAGTGATTCTCCATGGCATGTGTTAAAATTGGAGAAAAAAAATTTGAGTTAAAAAAACAACAAAACTTTGTTTCAAAACAGTACAATTTAACCAGATGGTGAAACCATTTTGCTGGGAAGCTGAAACTGCGATAACATGATTCACACACACACACACACACACACACACACACACACACACACACACATATATATATATATATATATATATATATATATATATATATATATATATATATATATATATATATATATATATATATATATACACACACACATAGGACGCGCGCACACACACACACACACGCAAACGTACACAGGCACACACACTCACGCAACAGACATACTATGTTTAGAGTGTCTGAAAATTCTGATACGAATCTTCCTGCTAAGTCTTTTGAAACTTTCATGCTTTGTTCTGTATGTTTTTCTGTTTTCACTCCATTTCGACTTCAAAGATTGTGTTAAGAGTGGTCTTGGCCTTTGAATTCCCTGAGACGAGTGATAGTGCAAGGGGTTATATTTAGCAGTGACGAGCTCATCTGTGTTTGCAATTTTATCCATTATAAACATCACAAGTAAATGGAAAGACAGTACAAGAAGAACTGACTGAAAGTACAAAAGTACAATAGACAGACAGATGGTGGGGGTGGAAAGCAACGGTAGCTCTAGAAAACATCTCTTCGAAGAATACTAAATATCCACAGGACAGATTTTAGGTCCAATACGCAAATAAGACGAGACCAAGCAGGACAATGTTGTGAGACCTCTAGCACGAAAATTGGAGATAGAGCTGTCATAGGGACCCTTTGATGGCTGGCGGAACAAAAAGCAGCTCACACGTTGATAGTGACAGACTCCACGAGCATGAATAAGAAGATCCTACCTGGCAAACTCTGACTAGTATGGGTTGACAGCCCCTAGAAGTCCCGGGAAAAAAACCGTCTTGATTAGATGCCGGGATATGTCAGTGTAAAGGGAAATTAAAGCAGCAGACCAGACCAACCATGTATGCCTCAGTTGGGGGATGAAGAAGTTTAGAGAGGGAAAACTCGCTTAAAGCACTGTTATAAAGTGCTCTGCCACTAGTACAGACAGCTGATAAGAAACTGTCCGCCTGTGTCGCCGTCCGCACGCAACGCCGTAGCTACAGCGACGTTCCTCCATTTACTCGAGAGTGTTAACTCTGGTACCCATTACATAGAGGCTGGGTAAACCCCGGGGAATCGCCCGGTTTCGAACACCAGCCCTGGGCTGCAGCGAGTCGCAGTTGATTTGAAAGCGAGCCTCCAATCGACTGCGCTAACGCCTCTCCCCCTCTCCCCTTTTCCATAAAGCGCTGTGTTCTAAACACTTTCAGACAATCAGACAATGTGGTCAGAGACGATAAACCGGCTTTTGGAAATAGGTATTGAACGAGGACAATCATGAAGAAACCAGTTGCAGGGCAAATAAAGAGTTTAGACCGGTTATTCCCAAACTGTGGGCGCCAAAAGGGGCGCCGCGAAATATTGTAAAAGCTTCATAATGAATTTAACCATGACACGAATAGTCATACTTTTACTTAGCTTAGGGCGCCGTGGAAAAAAAAAATTATTGAAAAAAGGCGCCGCGACAAAGAACAGTTTGGGAAACACTAAGCTAGACCAATTAACTCTTCACTAGGCGCGTTAAGAAGGGAGACAATGAGATGGCTGCTGCATCGAAGGAGGGAACCCGAATGGGTCAAACCGATGAGCCAGGATGTCGCTATGGGCATTAGGTATCATTTCCTTTACTAAGATTAGTTGCTTATCCTTTACAGGACGTTGCAGAACCAACCCCAACAGCCCCTGGCTGTTGTGTGGTTTGTCTAGGCAAATATACGTCCAGTAGTTTGCCATAGTTTTCTGGGCGATACCACTGTCGAAACCAACGCAACGAAAATGACCCGCTGCTGGGATCGAACCCGGCATCTCGGCATTACGAAGCGTTCGCATCGTCTTAGCCACAGAGTCGACATTTACATTACACTAGAGCCAATATTTTAAACGTTTTTCTATCTATATGTTCTGGGGCCTTATGCTGACGAGGGGAAAAAAATTTTAAAAGGCTCTCGTGAAAAAAGGCGGCGAATTATGGGTGTTTTCTACGAAGTATCCTGAATTTGATTCGTACATATCCTCTTTCCAGACGATAGTGTTATGCTCTATGAAGAGGCATGGGACTTAAAACCCATGGCGATGGTGAATTTGTTTAGCAAGAGCCGCCCGCGTTAAAACAAATCTTCCACAATTAAAGAATGAGATTTTATGACAGTTGTTGCAAACATGTGTGTTTAGTCTGTTTTTTTTTTTTCTCAGACGCTCAGCTCTCATTGTTTTTGTGACCATTTCTTCCTTGATTGTCACTCCCTTACTGCTTTCCCTCCTCCACACAACACGGTCCTTGGCATTTTGTTCCCACCAGTCCATCTCAAAACATGTATCATTTAGGCCGCGTTAGTACACATCTTTATATCGTAGTAAAGTAATGTGCATACAATCTCAGTATTGTCCCACTTCTCTCTGTACAGTGTGGATCCTTGTGGCAGTATCGGTCGACCGGTGTCTGTACGTCTCTTGGCCTCAGCTGGCCAGAAAGTGGTGCAAGCTGAGAAACGCTCGCATAACCGTGGCCACCATAGTGGTCCTGAGTGCTTTAATCAACGTCCACTTTTTCTGGACTTACGACTTGGAGACGGCTGATAGTCAGCACATCTACGCCAACGGAAACAAGAAATGCTACGCAGACACTTCTTCAGAGTTGGCCGTCAGGTAAAATTATGATGTATATTTCACTGCCTTGTGAATATGTTTTCTTTTTGTACATTTTACTGTTTCTGCCCCGAGACTGATTGGGACTATAAACAAACCTAAAATCAAGCAGTAACAAAGGTGCCTGAAATTGGATTGGTGGTGGTGGTGGTGGTGGTGGTGGTGGTGTGGGGGTTATGGCCCTTGAGCCTTCCCCACACTAATTATTTTTTTACAGACGAGGGGGTCGAGTTACCCCCTCCCTAAACCCCACCCCTAAGAGAACCCGTTTAACCCTGTGTATAAATAGTTTTAAATCATAATAATAATAAACAATAATAATGTGTTAAAGGACAAAACAATTATATTACGTAATATGAAATGTACTCGTATAAACACATATGTTTGAAAAAATAATTTTTTTGCACGACTAGAATGGGCTTTTAACCACCTCCCACAAGGTTATGGGGAACGAAGGAGAGGGCGTGGGTGTTAATGAAATGCCTGTACATAGACATTTATCTTCTAAAACTTTAACCTGGCATGTATACATAGATGCCTATGAGATGCCTATACATATACATACATATTTATCTCTTAAGAATTCACATTGGCATATCAGTACTTGTTTTTATATAAACATATAGAGAAGACAGGGGCGCTGAAAAACAACATGGAGACGAACGATGGGAAGTGACCTGAGTGCGGCATCTTTAACATGGAAAACTGCACTGAAGATTGCACAGGACAGGAAAGCATGGAAAGTCCTCTCTGAAACCTCATGTGCCACTAGGCATAACGAAAACTGATGATGTGATATATATATATATATATATATATATATATATATATATATATATATATATATATATATATATATGTATACATATGTTAGGTAAAGTCCTGGGATGTAAAGGCGGCAGTGGTGATGTTGCCTACATCATCATTCAAGGTCCCTACATACATGAATCTAGCTTCATATGTATGCTGCTCTGCTAATGTGCAAAGGTAGCTTCACTTGACCAACTGTAAGCTGTGTTTTGTGTCATTTTATTATTTCATAAGTTTTGTCTTTTATTTCAGTTTTGTGGAGAATGTCTGGCCATGGATTGATTTCTGCGTCTACTGTCTGTTCCCGTTTATGTTCATGGCTACAGCAAACTCCATCATTATCAAACAGCTAGTTCGTACTGAAAAGAACATGGCTTCCTACTTGAATACGAATTTGGACGGAGTGCAGAGAAGTGCTACAGAACTAAGACAGGCCAGCCAAGTAAGCATGTCTAACTTTACCAGTCCGGGGCGAAACTCGAATGCTGCCATAGAAGAAAAAACGAACGAACGGGGGAAGGGAAATAAATCAGTAAATGATATCTCGCAACTTGGTATAACAGAGCGGATTATCAAGTGCTGTGGGGATCCTTTTACAGTTCAAGTTGTATACTCTTCAGAAACGGAAGGGAAGCGAACACTCTCAATGGATGTGGGGCTTAGCAATGAAAGAAAGTCAAAATCCCTTACTACAGACAAACAGTGTCAAGGACACCGATAACTCTGGGGCTGGTTTTAACTTTGATGAATGCGGAACTCCCAATGTTACCACTATCATGTCTAGCAACTGTCAATCTATAATTTCATCAAATAAAACATCAACAATGAAACGTGAAGAAAACACACATAGGATTCGAATATTAGAATCACACGTAGAAACAACTGATTTTCTCAAAGAAAACGCCATACCCAGTGACGTAGAAGACAAAAGTGAACTTCATGTATCGATGATAAACACAACATCTTCACAAGACAGTCTAGCAGAAAGCAGACTCAGCCTCGAATGTCAGTTCGACAGTAGAAATGTGCATGTGATGCGTTCAAAATTCAGGTTACAACCAATAGAACTAGCTGTCTTTGATGAGCTGGCAGATGCTGCAGTAGGGGCAAATCTAACAGTAGAATTTCAACAAGACTACATGAAACGAGAGAATCCATTGAACGAGATTCACACAAATATGACAGAATTACGACCAACAAAATCTACAGAAAGAAGGAAAACTCTCAGGAACAAAGTTCACCCTCTTCAACAAATTAACCAGGCATATTTTCCTGATATATTTTCAGTAAGCATACCCGACACGCCAGATGCGAGTGAGGAGATGGTGGCATTGTGGGCATTGACAAACGACGAGGGTGACTTTTTAATGAAAGAAATGAACAATGATTCCAGTGCAACAAAACATATCTTTGATGATAAACCACATGCAGAAAATATCATCAACGCGCACCGTACGACATTTAACAGTAATACAGATCAAATCTTGAAACAGAACTCAGAGCATCTAGAGAACACTGATGTTGGTGTCAATAATAACGAGATGGTTGGCGCCGTCATGGAAAGTACACCACATTATCACAGCTGTAACACTTGTATGGATGAAGATCAATCACACTATCACAAGAATAACAATGGTATATATGTGAATAAGTCACAGTGTACTAATTATGATTGCACAGATATACATAACACATCACACTGTCACAATAAGAAAACAGACGCCGATATACAAAACACATCACATTGTCACAATGAGAAAACAGACGCCGATATACAAAACACATCACACTCTAAAACTAACTTTCACAATGATACAATTGGAGTTGCTATAAATAAATCCCACTATCACAGTGAGAACAATGGCGTCAGTGTAAACAAATCCCATAATCATAATGAAAACATCGGCACAGACGTAGAAAACAAACTATATTGTTGCACTGGTAACACTGGAGTTGCTTTAAATCAATCAAACCATCACAGTGACATCAGTGGCGTCGGTGGAAATAAATCACATAACCATAAAGAAAACATCGGCACCGATGAAGATAATGAACTACTTTGCCCCAATGGTAACATTGGAGTAGATAAAAATCAATCACACCATCACAGTAACAACAAAGGAATAGGTGTAAATAAATCACAACATCACAATAAAAACATTGGCACCAACGTAAGTAACAAATTACTTCTTCGCACTAGTAACACTGCAGAGGATATAAATCAATCATGCCATCACAATGTCAGCAATGGCGTTGGTGTAAAAAAATCACATTTTCACAATGAAAACGTGGAGACCGACGTGAAAAACAAACTATTTTGTCGCAGTCGTAACACTGGAGTGGGTATAAATCAATCACAAAATCACAATGGGAACAATGGCACTCAGATAAATAAATTACGTTATCTCAATGAAAACATCGGCACCGTCGTAGATAAGAAACCACTTTGTCATGACTCGATAAGAAGCGGAACACATCAAGGTGTACAACAAACCCTAGGATTGCCACATACACTATTATCATCCTCACAAAACAAGTGGCAGAACACTAGTACAGCCAGCGACATGCTAACACCAGCCCTATCCCGTCGCAACACCCGCAGCGTAAGTAAGACGTTACTTGCAGTCACCATCGTCTTCTGGATTCTCAATGCGCCCATTGTTATCTTCATCATTGGCCAGACATACATCATCACTTCAGCCGACGACCGAGGCCGGGCAGTGGTCATCCTGGCGTGGACAATTGTGAACATTCTACAGTACATTAACGGGGCTCTTCATTTTTTCTTATACTGTTTGACTTCACCAAAGTTTAGGCAAGAGCTTAAAGATATGTTTAAAGAATGCAGTGAAAAGATGAAGAGAACAGTTCCCTAGTCTAAAAGAGGACCTAACATGGGTACCAGTTAAAGTCCTGGGAAGTAAAAGCGGCCGGCGGGATGTTACCAAACAGTTAAAGGTGGCCCTTCATTTTTGTCTTAATATTTTTTGACGGGACCAAAGTTTAGACAAGAGGTTAAAGATATGTATAAAGAAAACCTTGCGATCATGAAGAGAATAGTTCCCTAGTCTAAAATCGAACCTAAAATGGGTATCAGTGGATGTCCTGGGAAATAACAAGAGGGCGGGATGTTGACCATATCACCCACCGAGTACAGATTAGTTAGCATCATATGCCCACAGCTCATTAGAGTAGTAAAGGCTCTTCGCTAAGTGACGAAAGACAGTAATGTCGTCACAGCTGCAGATCTATCACTTGACGTGGCAGATCATGAACTCGTTCAGCCCCAACAGGTTCTCGCAGCACATGTGGGGGGAACGAATGCCCACTATGCAAATTCAGGAAACCATAACTTCCCAACAGGCAAACTACGCAGCGGAAGTAGCCAATAGAGAAGCCAGATTTCTTTACTGCGCTGTGACCAACAGTAAAATCGGGGTGAACACATCACGCGATGGATGAAATTAATGTGGGAAAACTCTTACCCATCAAGTGTTGCATAGAACTGAAAGAGTTAATAGCTGTTTTTGAGTGGCTGTGACTTTTGCTAAGCAATTTTAGATTCAGTAGTGTGGCAGTAGGTCGGCTGTGTGGCTAAGTCGATGCGAACGCTTCGTAATGCCGGGATGCCGAGTTGGATCCCAGCTGCCGGCTATGCGCCTTGTGTTGGTTTTAACAGTGGTATTAAGAAAGCCGACCGTCAAGAAAGCAATAGCAAACTACTGGACGTAAGTTTGCCTAGAAAAACCAAACAACAGGGGCTGTTGGGGTTGGCTCTGCAACATCCTGTAAAGGATACGCAACTAACTAAGTGTGGCAGTATGAAACAATCTACGTTCGTTGGTTATGACACAAAAACGAAAACAACAACAACAACAGGAGTACATCGTGAAAGTGGGAACAGTGGAGGGGAGAAGAGGCAGGGGGAGATCGAGACAGAAAGAAGATGCTGGCCAGTTTGACACCATGGCAAAGAGGATTGTCCGTGTCAGAGGTGATAAAACGTACACGAGACAGAAGATTGTGGATAAACATGACTAGCAACCTCACAGAGTGTGAACTTTACGAGGAAGACAATGTTTGTCATGTTTATAATTCATAAGTAGCCGGGTCAGTTCAGCTGCAGGCATTTTTGACAGCAGATCGGTTTGCGTTTATTTTGACAAAAGTATGTGTGTTGACCATACAGTAAGTAAAGGTAAATTACAACATGCTACTTGCCCAACTTGTATAGGACGTTGCAGAACCAAACAGTTTAGATGTTTGCGATTTCACTAGGCAACGTTAAAGTTCAGTAGTTTGCCATTGCCTTCAATAGTCGGCTCCCGATACCACTGTCGAGATCAACGCAGGGCGGTCTGCTGCCAAATCGACAGCAGCACTGTAATATAATTAGATTAATTGCTCAAAATCTACACAAGAATACCCTAGGGTTTGAGCAATCAGTAGAGTTCTGTTGTGTCTGGTCTGTCGTAGGTTTTAGGCATGTGAGCTTTCCTGTCAACTAATAAACATTCCACTGGCAAGACATTAACGTGGCTGCTTCAGTATATGTCAATTAAGTGATTTTGTGCATTGGTGTGGTTTACTTGTGCGCTGATGAAGGCTCTATAGCCGCAACGTTCATGTTTTATCTGTGTTTGTTCAATTGTGAAGCTCAGTGATCTACTTTTCTTTCTGTTTTGTATCTTTTCATTATGCGTCAAATTATAAAAGCTGTTTTTTTCAAACAGGAATGTACTATTCATTTTTTAACAGTTCACACACACACAAACACACATACACAATAACACATATACACGTACACACACGCATGCACACAGACAGACAGACAGACAGACAGACAGACAGACAGACAGACAGACAGACAGACAGACAGACAGACTGACAAACAGACAGGCAGGCAGGCAGACAGACAGACAGACAGACAGACAGACAGACAGACAGACAGACAGACAGACAGACAGACAGACAGACAGACAGACAGACAGACAGACAGACAGACAGACAGACAGAATATACACACACAAGTATATAGCGATTAAGGGTCGATTTTATTGCTGTTGGTTTAAGCCCCGCTGCTTGGTTTGTGCTTGCAGACTAGTCGCTAAGAGCATACCAAGCAGTAAAAGCTAGCTTTTATTTTAATCATCGTAATGAACGATATTTTACGATAATATTGCACCTAACTTCTAAGTTTAGGACTCCAGAAGTTCTGAAATGGCTGTAAAATTAGTAGTGATCAGGTTTTCTTTTCCGTAGCTCCTAAAAGTACTCAGTACTTACATCTTTTAGTGGCATCATATTTTTCAGCTCTAGCTTATAGATACTCTATGGTGATTACCCGCAGCTTTTGTAGACACTTTAGGGTAAAACCCTGTTTATGATGATCATTTGTTACTACCTAAATGGAAGATTCACGTTCTCAAAAATTGAGTTCTGTAATTTGATTATTTCTTGTCTCTTTTTGAACTGTCACTTCTGTTTTATAAGTACATATCGTGGCGTGGTGCTTTTGGTCAGCGCGTAAGAGGGAAAGTTAGGTTAAGATGTGCGTAAGGAGATACTACGTACCTTGCTTCGGGCGCCAGCCTTCTCTGTGCTGGTTTTATGGAGCCTCATTCAAGGCTCCTGTTGCACGTCCCCGTCGTGCCCAGGGATAATGTCTTAAATTAGCATTAATCGAGCTGGCAAGATACCTCGCAGCTGGTGGTCGACAGAGATGCAGTGTCTAGTTTAACTATCATTAGCCTACCCCAAAAAGCATGGGTCAAAACGTTTATTAAAACTAATTAAATTATGTACATATATATAAATATTCTAAGAATATCTTGGACAAAGAAGAAAAGAAAAACTGACATCTTGAAAGATCTGAACATCAAAGAAGTTTGGCTAATAAACAGCATGCTGTCTCGGAAGCTGAAATATTTTGGTCATATCAAGCGCCAAGACGGATTGGAAAAAAAAATTATAGCAGAAGGCATGGTACCTGGAAGGAGGAGCAGGGGCCGACCAACACGAAGATGAGCACAGGATATAAGTGACTCCTTAAGCATGAAAGTATATGAGACGGGAGAGCTGGCGAGAGACCGAGTTTCTTTCAGGAAGACGGTGATGAGAGCGATGTTCTGCAAAGGAGCTGCTACATGTTGACGATAATAAAAATACCTTAAATATGCATAGACTGATCAGTGATTTGGCAGGTAAAAACTTATCAAACCAGTGGTTTTCTACGTTTATAAGGCTGTGACCCTTTAATTAATAAAGGAATGACCCGCCACTACACATAGTCGTCGAGTCGGGACCTGGACCCCCCCCCCCCCCCCCCCCCCCCCCCCCCCCCTTTGCGCTCGACAAAAAATTCCAAATTTGGAACCGTCCGGAAAGGTATATAGTCCCTTATATTGATCTATACCTTTATCAGGTAAAATTATAGTTTCTAGACCTTCTAGTTGCTTTTACTTATCGTCATTTTCAAATTTGCAACTGTAGGTTGACGTTTTCTAGGGTTTTATAAGAATATTCATAGAAACCGGTTTACTCCTTGCTCATGTATACAAGGAACTTCTTTTCTACTGACGCCAAGCTTAAGTTAGAGCGGGCATTCTTCTGCCTGCATTCCTAGAGACCAGATGTATTCATCAACGCCTCATAAATTTAAACTTTGAGAAGGCGGCCTGTAGTGTCTAGGACATTTCCTATGCTTGGGTAAGTTAATTATAGTTTACGAGTACCTTAAATGATGCCTTGTTAAAAGGGTCACTGCTGTAGATTGAGTGGTATCGGTTGTGGGATCACACATAGTTCGACCGTTCTTGATCTCCAGAGAACCAGATCCAAACCTTAGACCTTCCTCTGCCCAGACTAAATAGTTTGTGCCCTAAATAACCCACACCATTGGTAAAGATATTGAACCTACAAGTGTTAATCATTTGAACTAACAACAGAAGTTTGTGCAGTACTAATGGCGACGGAGAATGTAGGTCAGTTACTTGGCAGTTAGCGCGTTGCTTTGAGTGTGTTTGACACAGATCAATGGATGTGTATTGAATGGCCTGAGGAGACGGAAGAGATATAGATACTTACTGTAAACACTAGTGTCTGTATGCAGATGTGAGGGGGTGGAGAGAATGAGATACGTGTGATAGTGTCTATCTATCTTCACTATATATATCTGACTTTCCATCTCTTGCACTAAACAGACAGATAAATGAAAGGAGACATTGTCTCCTGGTCTTGAGAGTACACTCTGAGGAATGTAAAAGAGGAGCAGAGGTGGAGTAGGCTGATGTGGGATGGAAACTGATTGCTTATTCTGAGTCTTTCCTGTTAGATGATACCCTCTTGGTGATTACTAATTCTGAGTTCTTTCCAGACAGGATGAAACCTCTGTAAAGAGCAGGCAGATTAATCACAGTCCTACCAACATCCACCAACCAACTATCCACCAGCTAACACCAGTGAATGTACCTGACATCATCAGGTTGTGCCATATACACCACCACCTTAACATGGCCAGAGCGTGTGAGTGAGCTCCATGGCAAGTGAACATTTGCAGAGACAACTTTGTGACCTGACCTGTGGGAGAGACTTGTTGAGTCCATATACAGTTTCTGTGTCCTCGATGGTGAGGTACTCCTCTGTGACCAGATCAACTTGAGGCAGAGCTACCAGAGTCAACTACAGTCGAATCACCAGGAGCTGAGGGGAGCATCAACAATAGAACTCTGATAAGTCCCAGTTTTGTTTCAATATCATGCTCTATTCCCCACAGCTTTACAGTATTCCAAGGATGACACTGGGTGGTTAGTCAAGACTATCTGGCTGTTTCAATATCTGAGTCGTGGCTCTGCGTCCTGGTTCTATAAACATTCTAGAACATTATTCGTCCATTTATGTACAGAAGTTGTGCTGATTACATACATTCATTTTCATGGCTGACTTAAGGGTCTTTATTTCACCTTTCTAAGTGTTTAGCATTGTTGTGTGTATGAATAATAAGTATTATATGTGTTAACATGGTTATGATAGTAAACTATCATAACCTGGGGGCTTTCTTTTTAGAGTAGTGGGGGTGTCCAGCCAAGTGTGCCTAGGAATATTGTATTCATATACATATATATTTTGTAGTGCCAAAACTTGAGTTACCCTACTCCGGAAATAAGTTGAGCGTATATTGGCCACGGGGCATCCCTTAGACCAATACGAGCCAAACGACTCAACATAATTATTTCGGAGTGCTGTTGGTTCTTAAGGAGAAATCCTTAGATCAGGCACGCGACCGGAGTGATATGTGACATAATACAGTTCCTCATGTTGTGACGACCCCCCAGCCATACAATTATTTTCGTTGCTACTTTATAACTTTGCTGAATATTTGTTTTCCGACAGTCTTTGGCGACCCCTGTGAAAGGGTTGTTCGACCCACAAAAGGGTCGTGGGCGGCTGCGTGGTTTCGAGGCATGGTGTCGGCCGGGAGTGCTTGAGGTCCTGGGTTCAAGCCCGGTGAGGGCTGAAATCTTTTCACGTGTACTTCATGTAATTCGCACTGGTCTCTGGGTAGTAAGACCGGACGCGCGTGTTTTGTTGCGCGCGTAAAAAAACACTAGACAGTTGGAAATCGAAAAGAGTAGCCTAACGACGCTGCCCGGGCAAAATTTAGAGTTAAAAAACTACCTAAAGTATTTCAGGATACTCGCCGGTGCTACAGAGCCTGTGCTAAGATTCTTTACTCATGATTTAGTTAGAAGAAAAACGGAGCACTTATAAGTTGCTACCCGTGTGCCATGATGCTGACCCGTTGTTCAAAACCTCAAAACCTCAACTCCCGTATGTAAACAGTTTTAAACTCTCTCTGTCACCTGCGTGCAACATATGTTTCGTCCTTTTTAGGACGAAATTTTTCGTTTTTTGAAACCCCACCATGGCTTTTGCCAGGGGCCGCAATATAGGCAGGCCATAAATATGGCCAATTGTTTGAACGCGGTTTCTAGGACCTCTCCACGGCGATCCTCATCCACATGGTGGCACTTTGTGTCATCGGGTGTTTATCACTTGTGTGATGTCCTAGTGGGGTAGAAAGTCAGTCAGTCACTCTCTGTCACCTGACACTCTCCCAGTGCACCTCAGTCGTTTCCGTTGTTTAGTTCTTATGATGCATGTGTTTAGTGTAGATTCAAACAGATTAGGAATTCCATTGTTGCTTCTTTTTCCCCTTTTCCCAATGTGTGCTTCTTTGATGAGCATAAAGATTTGTCACAAAGCTTTTTTTTTAATGTGTAGTTAGGTTTTATCTTTTTTTATTTGTGCTCCAAGTTTTGCAGCCACATTAAACAACTAGTCTTATTATAGATTTATATATTGTGATCATGGTTTTATCGAAACAGAGACCTTGATTTCAACGAATGTTGTATGGCCTAGTATACTTTATTTCCATATTTTATTATAAACTGAATTTCTTCTCTTAATAGATTGGAGCAGTTGGTTTGCACCGAAGTACTTATACATTCTGATTGTTTGATTTTTATATAATCTGTATGTGGCTAGAGCTATTATCATCCTACTTTGCATTATCTAATTAAAATAATTGTTCATGTATCCCCAAATTATTCTCGCTTCCGTTTGACAAATCGTTGACCATCTGTAAATACACAACGCCACAACTTAACGATGAAATACATCATCAAGAAGATGAGGACTGCAATAACGGCGATGATGAAGACAACTACATCTAACACCATAATTTGATACCAAGGCATCTTCTGCCCCGGTGATCTCATATATTCGCCGCCATACTTCATCACGTGATCCAGCCAGTAAGCAGCTTCCTGTTTTGGCAGTTTATACAGCTCTCGGTAAAGGCGGGAAGCTTTCTGTATGTTTTCGGTGTATGTTTTATTGTAAATGATTTCCTTCATGATGGCCGCCAACTCGTCTGCGCTAGCCTGTCGCATGTCGGCACGAAGACCAAAATGTTTGACGACAACTCTTTCTGAGTTGTAAGGTTGATCGGCATATATGGGCAGACACAGCATAGGTACTCCGTGGTAGAGAGCTTCGTATTGTCCATTCTTTCCACAGTGGGAAACAAACAGTTTGGTTTTCTCGTGTCCCAGAAGATCATTTTGTGGTACCCACGTCGACGTCAGGATTTGTTTGGGATCAGGGGAGACAATATTGATCCTCCAGATGACACTCTGATTTAGCTGCCTGAAAGCAGAAGCGATTTTAGATACGATGTAAGAAGGCACATTAGTAACAGAACTGCCAAAAGACATAACGACGACGCCGTTTTTAGATTCATCCACGAATTTTTTAAATTCCCCAGATAACGGTTTCGCAGGAGATGTAGAAGATCCCCCAATTAGTTTTGTGTTTGGTAGTACTGTCCGTGGATAGTCCAGTATGTGGTCAACTTCAGCAATGAAAATTTCAGCCTCTGTCACCAGTTGACTGATGGTCTTGTATGGCTTGTGTGGAGCAAACTTGGCAACCAGACTGCTGTCGTAGAACAACTCAAAGTTCATGTGCACAAAGTAAAACAATGTCATCTGAAGTCTCTGAAAGAATGTCATCTTTTCACTTATGTCGAAGAGGCAGTAAGGAGTAGTTGCAGGACTAAATGGGATCTTTGATTGCACTGGGTCATGAGCAGTTCCGACCAGTGCAAATGGAATGTCTAGCATATAAGGAAGTACAACCATGTTTGGTGCCAATATTGTTGATTCCAAAACAATTAAATCGGGCTTCAGATTTCTCACTTTCCTTACGAATATCTGGTCAGCAAGAACAACTTCGGCCACTTTAACGAATGTTTTACTGAAATCAACAATGAGTTTTATAGTGGAAAATGTTTCGTTCATCCAGAATGTTTCTGCAATCCTGGTCTGTTCGTATAACTGCTTCACAATGTCACCAAGATATTCCCCGTACACGAGGGTATTAATAGACTTATCCTGTATCAGATGTTTAGCCGTTAGAGAGGCTGGCACACAGATCCAGACGTCGTGACCTAAACTAGCTAAAGCTCCAGCCAAACTGGAATGGTACACGATGTAACTGGTCAGTGGGAGGGGGTAAAACACAACAGTCTTGGCAGTAATACCAGTGAGTGTTGCCACAAATACCAGTGTGACAGCAAATTGGATTTGTGACTTCATTGTTGAGTTCTGAAAATATGGAGATTAAGTAAACTATGTAAGTGCATGGGCTGCTTCAGTAATATATACTGTTATTTTAATTGTGTAAGTAAAGTAAAGGACCCATTTTTTCCCCGACGCTTTCAGGAGTGATGGGCATATAGGGCTACACCTATATTATAAAGACCAATAGGCACTTGGTGGATGATGTGGTTAGGATCGTGCCGGCCGCCTTTAATTCCTTTGATACCCACTACTTGTCCAACAGGGCCCGAACCCACGGCCTTCTGAACCGCAGGCGAGTGTCTAGCCGCTACACTACAGCGACTCCCAGTTTACTTATATGCCTTCTTTTATAATTCAAAGGTTTAAATTTTAAAGACCTAGTTTTTTGAAAACACACTCCTTACTTACATCCGTACAAAAATCTGTCTTTCCATGCCATTCACCTATCTTTTACGTCTACGGAAGAAAAGTGGGCTCATTCATTTGTTCTGTATATTGGTTCTACTACCGTTTTTTTCTCCTACAAAGCGATTCCCACAACCCTTTTTTGTATTCACCCCCTCCCGAAACTCCCTCCCAGATCATCATTTCAACCCTGTGTTATCAATGTCAGACCTGGACAGTGGCATAAAAAGAGAAAAGAAAGATTACAACAACTGAATTGAGATTTCGGCGAAGGGCTCTCAATATAACATGCGGATATAAGATCAGAAGCGATGAAACCCAAAGGGAAATTGGAGTAGTAGCAACTGTTGATTTCATTAGAAGACATGTAAAATATTTTGGCCATATAACGTAGGATGTCAGCAAACAGTATACCACAGCAAGCAAGGATGTAAGACCAGGCGGGAAGCGAAGGAGAGGCCAACCATCCTAGCAATGGACAGATATAATTACTGAGTCATTGGAATGCCAGGTTACGAAGCACACAGTCGGGCTCTTTCCAGTGAATTGTGCTTCATCTAATCTCGATACCCAAGGTGGAAGAATATTAAAATGAGATGGTATGAGATAATCATTTCTGACCCAGCCTCCGCACATGAAATCTGACATCGTTCGCTGGCATTTAACAGCTGCTTAGCTTGTAAGAATTGACAAAACTGCTGCACTTCATCGTTAATGGCAACGTCTAGCTCAAGAGCCGCCGTGGTGTAGTGGCTAGACACTCGGCTGCGGATCCAAGGTTTTGGGTTCGGGTCCTGACTGATTTTTCTTTATAAATGACCTTTACTCTCAGGTTGACCCAACATTACACAGGCACCAAGTAAAGTCTTAGGAGGTAAAGGCGACCGGCGTGATACCGACTACATCACCTACCGAGTGCCGATTTATCTATTAACCATATGTTCAGCAGTAAATGCCTGGGAAAAAGGTCCTTTAAACATCCAAATCCGTGATTACAACTTCTGTCTAGAATTCTAAGACACTTAACTCATTCAAGAGTCCACGATAATGTATAGGAAATGGCAATCTCGTTACAAATATGTGATGTCTGGATACATTTTGAACGTCGCACCCTAACAAGGCAGATCTGATGTCTGTATACACTTTAAAATACTTACCCTGTTAGAAGATATATTATATAATAAAACCTAACCTTAAAAAAATTCATATTTGGTCTGGTTATGTCAATGAAAACATTAAATATAACAATGCACGCAACAGTAAACCAAAGAGAGAAGCAGAACGAGTCAGCCTTCCAGTAAAAACGCCATCACACATGACAAAATGAAAGTTGCAGAAAGACTGATATAAAACTTTCTAATATGTCAACTTCTTTCCACTAGTGCCAATCAATACACGTTTGGCTGCTTACTATCTCTATACTGCAACACTATATGTATGAGTCATGCTTTTAAATGCTTCGTAGCACTCAGGATATTCCCATAAACGTTCCGTCCTAATGTTCAACAGCAAGCACAGAGCAGCAACATTACAAACCTGTACAAGCTAATTAAGTTTTTATCGCTCTTGCCAGTTAGTTGGTAAAGCACTTAATGATGATGTTGATGATGATGATGATGATGATGATGAAGGGGAGGAAGACACGTTCGATGTGTGTAGTTCTAGAACCTGACTAACTATAAACCGCCGCTTGTGTAATTTTGTCAGGCAAATACCTTGCAAGACAGACCACGAACAACAACTACTTACAATTGTATTCCATCCAGGACGGAATCCTGTCTGTACAGAGTTACACATTTTGCATCTTTATAATATCAGTATGACTTTGTGCGACTTTAGTACGCTCCCACAAATGCATGACAGCACATTAACAAAATACCATTTGGAACAAAACGATTTGTACTTGTCAGTGAGGTGAAATTATGGCAGCTGTATTGACTTATCTATTTTGACACGGGCTACTCTTTCGGTGCCAAAACAGACCTACACACTCATACAGAGAAAAAGATATACACACACACATGCATACAAAGTCACAAAGCGAGACAGGGAACGAAACTACGAAATGATTACAAATTGGGCCGGAAGGCCCGTTATACATTGAGCCCTTTCAAAAAACCTTCCTTCAAGCAGCAATTTTTTTAAATCAGTAAAATCATGTTAAGTTCATTTAACAACACAAAATATCAATATCAAGTACAATACACGAATGCATGGGTATTATGTGCATACATGTATATATACGTACACACATACATACAAATACACACATACATACAAATACACACATACTTGCACTCCTATCCGCGCGGATGCATACACGCATATATGCGTGCATGCATACAGATGCGCAGACTGACAGACCGACAGACCCACCCATCTAGACAGATGGGTAGACCCACACACCTAGACAGATCGAGAGACATACCCACCTAGACAGATGGACAGACCCACCCACCTAGACAGATGGACAGACCCACCCACCTAGACAGATAGACAGACCCAATCACCTAGACAGATGGACAGACCCACACACCTAGACAGATGGGCAGACCTACCCTTTTCTGAAGGGATTTATAGTCGAAAGTGATTATATTGATAGGGAGTTCAGAAATTCAGTTAGATATAATCTGTCTAATACTATAAATAAAAATTATTGTCAAGAAATCATTAGGGTGGAGGATATAAAATATCTATTGCATACACTAAAAGACACTGCGCCGGGGCCAGACGGAGTCAGGTAACCCACTCGAAGAAGGTGAGTGATGAAAATTTGAGGGAGAAAGCATTTCACTTAAACCAGAGCATCAGAACAGCTTCAGTACCCTAGGATTGCAAACGCATATTATGTTTCCATTTAGCCTTTTATTTTTTCAGCTGCTGCACACCTCTCGTATCTAACAATACGAGATCGACCGAATAATGAATGATACTAACAGACAGATTTTGGGAATGATACCTTGTACTAGACATTGAGAAACAGCAGGTTAAGTATTTTGGCCTTCAAGTTAGAATGCAGCAATGTCAAATACAATCACAAGCACTACATTTCAGAAGATCAGCTGCAAGAGCAAGAGGTAAAGGTCCCTTTTTCCCGCCTTCGGGCATATTTGGTATATGTGGCTGAACCTATACTTTATAGAGCAATCGGCACTCAGCGGGTTATGTGGTCAACATCACACAGACCTCCTTTACTTTCTAGGACTTTACCTGATACCCTCTCAAGACTGGGTCGACTTGGAGCCAAGCTCAATTTTTAAAAACAGTCCAACTCCGTCAGAATAATGGTGATGACAAATAAAATACAGTAGAACCTCGCTTAACGAGCACCTCTCATAACGAGTAATTAGCATAACGAGCAAAACAAATTGTAAAAGAGTGACTTGCTTAACGAGCGACGTTTCGCATAACGTGTGGCGAGGAGAGGGGAAGTCCCGGATTGTGCGCATGTTACATCAGTCTGTGTTTATCTCTCGTTCCAGTAGCATCGTAGTGTCGCTTGTAATCACACCGTTTCTCAAACTTGTGTATATTGTTTTATATGTATATGTATCCTCCACGCCTACAATATGACCTCCCTAAAGAATTTAAGTTCATCAAGATCCAATTTCTGCCTCCCAACACCGCTCCGTTACTCTAGCCTATGGACCAGCAAGTTATTTCTAACTTTAAGAAGCTCTACACTAAAGCACTGTTCGAGCATTGTTTTCAAGTGACTGAAGGGACCAACCTCATTCTCAAAGAGTTTTGGAAAAATCACTTCCACATCGTTGCCTGCCTCAAGATGATTGACAAGGCTTGGGAAGGGATTTCCAAGAGAACCCTAACTTCTACTTTAAAGAATCTTTGGCCTGAGAGCGTTGGCGAATGTGACTTTGAGGGGTTCGAGATTGTACCTGTGGAACATGTATGTAGTCAAAGCGGTTGTGTCTTTGGCCACTATCATGGGACATTGGAGGTGGATAACAGTGATATCGAAGAGCTTGTGGAAGAGCACAGGTCAACGAGATTGTGTCTTTGGCCACTATCATGGAATTGGAGGTGGATAACAGTGACATCGAAGAGCTTGTGGAAGAGCACAGGTCAACGAGATTGTTTTTTTTTTGGCCACTATCATGGCTTTGGAGGTGGATAACAGTGACATCGAAGAGCTTGTGGAAGAGCACAGCCAGGAGCTGACCACCACAGAGCTTATGGAGCTGCATTGTGTTTTACAGCAAGAAGTTTTGGAGGAAAGTTTGTCAGAGGAAGAGGAGGAGGTAACAGAAAAACAACAATTTTCTGGTGAAATAAGAGAAATGCTGAAAACATGGGAAACTGTTGCATCTTACATTGAGAAGCATCACCCTAATAAGTGATAATGCTGTGTGGCATTTTCGTCAAATTTTGAAGAGTCGGCCAAAAAAAATTTATCTGGGCGTCTTTCTAGTGAAAAATAAATAGCTATGTATCATAATTATTTAGATTTTTGTTTGTTTTCTGCAAATCGATTTCGCATTCCAGGTGGGTTCGTTCCGAGGTGGAAGATAAGATAAAGATGGATGATTCACACTCTTTAACAATGTATATATAATTTTCTTTGAATAAACGTTATACATAACATTTTGTGT